CAGGCCTCTAAAAGTCAGGGAAGAAGTGTTTCACGGAAGTGCTGAGTTGGGAATATGAGCTGTAATTTCCTGGTATCTCTCTACCCCCAGGCATCATCAAAAGGGTCTGGGGATTCCTCAGGAGCTATTCTCCTAAGAGACAGCTATGCAATCACAGGAACTGGTCTAGCAATGAGCTGCAATCAGAGGTCGCTCCTAAGGTAGATCTACCAAGTAGATCTGAGACAAAGGCTGGAGTCCTTAAGGTGGCTTTTCTCCTTGTAAGACAGCACTAAGACAATAAAGGTCAGGTCATGCTAGCCTGTCACTGACACAGTGACTTCCAGATCTGAGAAAAGTGTGCCTGGAGAAACCCAACTCTCCTCCAGGCAGAAAGCTAGAGATGCCAGGGAAGCCAGGTGCAGGTGGCTGATGTCTGGGACAGTGTGTCTCTCAGACTGCAAACCTGTGTAAATTGCTCATCAGATTTCCCCAAGGGGGGGCGGTGCTAGTTTACCAGTCTATACTCAGCCATTCACAAGACTGACTTCAAAACACCTGCAAAAAACAAGTCAGTGAGCCAGTTAGATTTGCCTCAAAATATATGCAGTTCATGCACACACACACACACACACACACACACGCACACACACACACACATCAGTGCAACATTATGATGTGGCCCTCCTGCACTCTATAGTTTAACATTCATTGCTTAAATGACCATATACAGCCCCCCTGTTCTTTCTGAGCCATTCAAGAAAGTGTATTGTGTTCAGCCTAACTTTGGCACTCTGAATGTTGCTGGGTTTTACCTATAGGAAAACTGGCAAGTCACAAAGAGTTAATTAGAATAGTCATTTTACCAAACCACACTGTCTCTAATCATGGTAGTTATAGAATAGCTCTCCTCCAAATAAGGCCCCAACTGAGATCCCCAAAGCCTAATTTTCCTGGACTCCCCCAGGAGATATATATATATATATATATATATATATATATATATATATATATTTAGCTGCCAGTAAATGTCTTGCTGCTTCATTATATCCTGGACCTTTAAACACACATGCTGGTAGTCTGTGGTGGCTGCTGCATTCCCTAGCATAAAGGCAGATTTTTAGTTATGGAAATGGTCCCATACATTCCCCCCTTCCCCCACTATGCTGTAAGCTGTAAGAGGGCTGGGACTGTAGACAATGCATTATTCTCAGCTGTCTTCCCCTCCCCAATGCTTCGGTAGTAGAGAAATGTCTGTTGAGTGCAGCTACTGAGAAGAGGGAATGCCTTCCCTGCCACTTCCCAGTTGGTGGTTTAACAGCATTCTTTAGGCCCAGAAGACTGTGCACTGAGTTGGGATGGTTGGATTCTAAGATCTGCTGTGGCACAAAAATATAGACCCAGACTGACCTTTTCCTTTTTGTCCCGAGAGACCAAGCTCTACATGAGCTGTAGCTGTGGCCCCTGAGGGACAAGGCCAGTGAGACTGGCAGGATGCCTATTCACTATAAGCCTTTGCTAGGCAACAGCTTCTGGCACTGATGCTTCTGTGGTGAGATGAAAGAGAAGGCTGATAGAGGAAAATGACTTCAGCTTTGGACAGTGTTCTAAAGGTCTACCAGACCAGGAGCTGACAACCACAGCACTATATCCCCAGCTGAGGCCTTCTCAGTGGAGTCTGCAAAATAGGATGCGCATAGCACTCTGGTGCTTTGTTGAGCTCAGCAACACATGCTGGAAGCTCACCTCCACACCACCAATCAAGAGCATTTTGTGGATACTGTCAACCCAGCACCTAGCACTTCAGTAGGCCAAGAAACCAAGCCCCTAATCAGTTCTCACGGAGGAGGTGATGCCAAGCTCAAGGTCATGTCTTTCTGGCCAGAAGAGAAAGGAGAAATAGAAGCTTTCTATTGCCTCTGCTTCTGAGCAAATTTTCTGTGCTAAGAAAGAAGCACTACAAACTGCAGACATACTACAGTGGTCCATTTGGCTCCTGCATGGACACAGAGATTCCAGGCTAGGGGTAGTCTGAGCCTATGGCCCTCTGCACACACATATGGGTTCTCAGGAATCAGGAAGAAGATCCTAAAACCATGATCAGCACCAAAAGAGTGCAATGAGTCAGATCTGCCTAGGGAAAAGCAACAGGGAATCAAGTCACATGGAAGGTGCTGGGTAAAGCTGCAGGGACACACTTGGAGCCCCTTTGTTAGGGTGCTGATTGTGTGACACAAACCTACTTTCTTTTTTGTGTGCCTATTCTGGGGCTTGAACTCAGGGCCTAGGTGCTGTCCTGAAGCTGTTTTGGTCAAAGCTAGCCCTCTAGCACTTGAACCACAGCTCCCCTTCTGGTTTTCTGGAAGTTAATTGGAGATGAGTCACATGGACTTTCCTGCCAGGCTGGCTTCAAACTTTAATCCTCAGATCTCAGCCTCCTGAGTAGCTAGAATTATGGGCAGACGCCACTAGAGCCGTACTTAGAGCCACCTTCTTAATGCAGATTCCTTCCTGATACAATTCCTACTGTTACATTTGGATTTGGCTCTTGGCTGGGCTTCAAGTTCTTCCTTCTGCCATCTATTTCCCTTCCTCATGTATTCTGCTCATACTGGGGTGTGATTAGACACTGGGGGAGCATAGATGCCATTGTAAGTGCTAACACTGGCTTTTCTAGCATTTGGCCATCTGTAGGTTTGCAAATCCAGCTGTCTCTTCAGAGCTCTTCATCTGGAGCTGTGCAACACCTTGCTCCCTTGTTTCTTTTTTCTTTTTTTTATTGTTATTATAAAGGTGATGTACAAAGGGGTTACAGTTACCTAAAGGTGATGTACAAAGGGGTTACAGTTACCTAAGTCAGGTAAAGAGTACATTTCTTTTTGGACAATGTCGACCTTCCTCCCCTGTTGCTTCCTGTTCCAGCTCAACCCCTTCCTATACCTTGGGGGGGGGGGGGGAGGACACATTCATTCATTCCCAAATTTGTGTTTGATGCATTGCGTTTTCATTCTCATGAAGCACATTATGAGATCCATCAAAACTTGTGTCTTTTATGATGTGTGGGATGGACTTGTTAATGGGGAAAAAAGTCATGATGATGTATATAGAAGTGACACACAGCTCTATGGGTGCTAGGTCATCTTGCCATGAGCGTGTCATCGTCTTCTTCTTCTTCTTCTCCTCCTCCTCCTCCTCCTCCTCCTCCTCCTCCTCCTCCTCCTCTTCCTCCTCCTCCTCCTCCTCCTCCTCCTCCTCCTCCTCCTCCTCCTCCTTCTATGTCGGTTGTGGGGCCTGAACTCTGGGCCTGGGCACTATCCCTCAGCTCTTCAGCTCAAGGCTAGCGCTCTACCACTTGAGCCGCAGTGCTACTTCTGGCTTTTTCTGCTTACATGTGTGCTGAGGAATTGAACCCAGGGCCTCATGCATGCAAGGCAAGCACTCTACCACTGAGCTACCTTCCCAGCCCCGAAGAGTGTGTTTTCATGCTTAAACATGGCTATTACCAATCTGAATCACATGTGATCCCTTTGAAAACTAATAAAGTGTTGATGACAGTAAGTCAGGTAGCAAGGGCGGGTGCATCAAACGGTTATCATGTGACAAAGGTGGCAACTGGGTGTTAAGTTTTGACTTCTCTCATGATGTTTGAGGTTGGGAACCCTTACTACTTGTATGTGAGTCCAGGGTTAGTATGTGGAGCACATGCTTTCCGAGTCATCTGCTTCTTCTCCAGCTTATGTTCTGGGCAACAGGCCTGGATTGGCCTGATTTTCCCAAGGCTTCTCTTGTGCCATCACCAGGACAATCTTGGCAGGTGGTCACTGGAAGTTGTCTATTACTTTCTGTTTGGGGGCTGATTTGTTATATCTCTTATTTTCAAGCTGCCTTCTAGCCCTTCCAGTCCTTCCTCTCTCCCCCATTTTTCAATGCAGTACAAAAATTTATCTTCTCTTTCTTTCCTTCTTTCTTTCTTTCTTTCCTTCCTTCCTTCCTTCCTTCCTTCCTTCCTTCCTTTCTTTCTTTCCTTCCTTTTTTCCTTTCTTCCTTCCTTCCTTCCTTCCTTCCTTCCTTCCTTCCTTCCTTCCTTCCTTCCTTCCTTCCTTCCTTTCTTTCTTTCTTCCTGCCTTCCTTCCTTTCTGCTTGTCCTGGGGCTTAAATTCAGGTCCTGGGTGCTATCACCTGAGCCTCTTTGTGCTCAAGGCTAGTGCTCTACCCCTTGAGCCACAGTGCCACTTCTGGTTTTGTTGAATAGTTTATTGGAGATAGGAGTCTCACAGGGACTTTTCTGCTAGTGCTGGCTTTGAACTGCAATCCTCAGATCCCAGCCTCCCAAGTACCTAGGATTACAGGTGTTAGCTACCAGAGCCTGGCTAAAATTCTCTTCATGGAGAACGGTCTTTTTCTGTATCAGCTGGCATTAAACTCACAATCTTCCTGCCTCAACCTTCTTTTTAATTTTTTTAAACAATCCTGGGACTTGAATTCTGGCCTGGGCACTGTCCCTAAGCTTTTATGCTTAAGGCTAGTGCTCTACCACTTGAGCCACAGCTCCACTTCTGGCTTCTTCTTTGATTAATTGGAAAGAAGAGTCTCATGGGCTTTCCTGCCTGGGCTAGCTTCCCATCATGATCTTCAGATCTCAGCCATCTCAGTAGTTGGGATTACAGGTGTGAGCCACCAGTGCCCAGCTTGTCTCAATCATCTGAGTGCTAGGATTACAGATATGTACTACTCCATCCTACCCAATGCAATTCTTCAGTTGGCTCCAGCACATGCTTGCTGAAGGTATCTTACATCCATTTACTGACTCAAGCATTCTGCATTGTTACAGGAATGCTTTGTTGAACAGGCACATTCCCAGTGGGGATGTGCCAGGAAGGGTGCTTAATATGGAGCTGTGAGCATGATTTTAGGAACTGTGGGCATGGGGTGAGTGTGAGGGCAGCAGATTTCCTCCATCTATGTCTTCAGGGTCCAAAGGGCTTCCAACACACTGAAAACCAACCGAGGCTGAGCCCTACCTGCCTTGATCATTGGAGGTGGAAGGGGCTGGCTGGAAGGCCTGGAGAAGACCATCTTTCTGGAATCCAGCAGGAGGCGGCAGTACCCTGCAATCAGGCAGGCAAAGTTGGTGGCTTCTGGCCACTCCATCAACAGCACCAGAGGCTGTGAAAGAGAGGGAAAGAAACGTAAAGACACGAGAAGGAAGACTGGCTACATTTCCAAGATAGTGAAGAAAAGTAATAAATAATAAACAGTAAAGGAAAAAAATAAAAAAATAAAGGTAATAAAGAAAAGATGCCTTGAATTGTTGAACCATACTTTTAACTGGGTACAGTAGCTCACACCGGCCATCCTAGCTACTCAGGAGGTGAAAGAAGGGAAGACTGAGGTTCAAAGTTAGACTGGGCAAAAAGTTAACAAGTCTCCATATGAATCAATAAAAAGCTGGATGTGGTGGCACATGTCTGTTATCCCAGATATAAAGGAAGCATAAATAGGAGGATCATGATTTAAGCTGGCTGGGGCATAAATGCAAGACCTTCTTTGAAAAATATCTGAAACAAAAAGGGATGAGATCTGAGCATTGAGGTTCAAAGCCAGCCTGGGCAGGAGAGACTTTTATCTCCAAATAACCAGCAGAAAACCAGAAGTGGAGCTGTGGTTCAAGTGGTAGAGCGCTAGCTTTAGGTGGAAAAGACAAGAATGAGAGGCCTTGAGTTCAAGCCCTAGGTCCAGAAAACAAAAGGATGAAAGTGTGAAATCATTGGACACCTGCTATGAAAGCTCAAGGCCCTAAATTCAAACCCCAGTACCACCATAAGCACTATATATATATATTCAGAACTAAACATTTAGGCACACTGCCTGACAACTTCTGATTTGAGATTCACTTTGTAGTAGACTCTTACTCAGGTATCACATTAAATCAGCCTTTAGTCACACATTTAATGAACCAACATTTTTTACTGAAAAAGACTAAAATTATATAACATCATGTGCCTGCTGTGTGGCTGTATTTGCATTTGTCAGAGCTCAGCAGATGTGTGGGCCAGCTGGGAGAATATGGGTAAAGCTGGAAGTCTAGGCTTCGCCTATACTAGCTCTCACTCACCACCATATGCCCTGACACTTCTAAAATAGCCGAGGCTACAGGCATGCACTACCACGCCTGGCTTAGGTATCCTCCTTATAGTAACCAATGCAGAAGGACTGATTCAGAGAGGTTTGAGTGTGGATGGTTGCTACTATCATTGCTGTGTCTAAGAAAGTGCCACCTGATGTACCTTAGGGGCATTCAAAAACATCACAGCCATCCTTACTGTGCCTGTCTTATCATCTTCCACCCAGATCCACTCTCCTCAAGGTATGTGGGAATGGCTGATGAGGGGCAGTGATCCAAGCCTCTCAGCCACTGGGTCTTCTGCTGGGTCCACAAGATGCCTTACTTGGGGATATATGGCTCATCTGTAGATATGTTTTGCCATAGAAATTGTGATGTTTTCTCATGACATGGAAGAAGCTGGGATACACTAACCTAAGGACTTCCAGTAGCCTCCTAATTGGCTTTTCTGTTTGTCTTTCTCAATTTAACCCACTTTGTCTCTGACAAGAGTCTTTATAAAGCCTATCTCTTTCCCCTGAGAACCTGTACAACTCATCACTGACAGGCTAAAATCTCCAATCACATGTCCCTTAACACTGCCTGTGTCCTCCTCCCTTTATCTCTCACCGGGGGCTTAGGCAATGCCCCATCATTTAGAGTTTGCCATGCTCTCTCATAGCACCATACCGTAGTTTGTGCTTTTCCCTTTCACAAAGTGCTCCTGCGTCCTGCCTTGTTGACATGGTCAACTGCTACAAATGGCCCGATGCCTTCTGGGAAACGTGACCAACTGAAATCTATGACCATTCATTCCAGAGCAGCCAATCTAATTCCTGATCCTGTGGAGCTTACACTCTAGTAGGAACATGACATAACAAGAATAATCACACAAACAAATGTGACTCCAAGGTGGGAGAAGTACCACAAAGGCAAATTACAGAGAGCTATCAGAATACAGAATGTCCTGGAGCGGTGGATAGGTGGGCATGAACATGTGTTAGTGTGTGATATTTGGTTTCAGAAGCTGAAAGAATCTTCCTTTGAGGAAAAGGCCTTGGCTGGCAAATAGGATGAAAAACCATTTCACTAGAGTACAGGCTGAATGGTAGTCTGATAGACACACTGATGGGCTGACTGGCTACAGGGCAGACGGACTCACTCCGGCTTAGTTGACAGGCTAGCTGCAGAGCAGGCAGAATGTCAGTTATTCTCATATTCTGCTTAGTAACCTGGCTGGTTGGTTGACTAATGGAGAGAATTACTGACTGGAAGTTGAGTGACTAATTGACTTAACTGTGTGACTTCAGTTTCTTCTTATCCCCTATATAACTTATTTGCTTTGCTTTGCTTTGCTTTGCTTTGCTTGTGTGTGTGTGTGTGTGTGTGTGTGTGTGTGTGTGTGTGTGTGTGTTTGTGGTATGGGGCTTGAACTCTGGGCCTGGGCACTGTCCCTCAGCTCTTCACCTCAAGGCTAACACTCTACCACTTGAGCCACAGTGTCACTTTGTTTTCTGAGTGGTTTATTGGAGATAAGAATCTCAAGGACTTTCCTGCCCAGGCTGGCTTTGAACCATGATCCTCAGATCTCAGCCTCCTGAGTAGCCAGGATTACAGGTGTGAGCCACTGGTGCCTGGCGAGAATAAAATCTTATGCATAGAGAGGGCCAAGCCCATTGGCAGCTGGCTTAGCTCAGTCCAGTGCAGCTCAGCCCATCAGGAGTCTCTCCTCAGCATTTGCAGATAGCCAACTGGGCCCCAGCATGGGGCAAATGCAGTCTGTAAAGGGAACACAGATGTGCTTTTTGCCAACAGGGGTAAAAATCAAATCAAAGGCAGGCAAGCAAGCAGAGGTTAGATAGGTTTTTGAAAAACCTTCAAAAAACATTTTACTTTAAATAGGATTTTAATGCTCATGATGCCTAATGTAATACTTGTCTCTACAGAAAGCACTAGACCAATACAGCTCAATCATGAGAATGGGAGACACAGGGGGGAGTGGGGCACACAAGAGATCCCTTGGGACTTTCTTTCAACCATTCCACCCCTACCGCTTCCATGTTTCTATGGTAATGGGGTATGATAATGTCCCAGTGGTGTCTCAGTCCCACACTGCTATCTCCTGGAGAAAAATATCTGAACACTACTACTTCATGCTCACTCCACTATGAGCAAGTAAGCCAAGCGAAAACAGAATATGTCCAGGCCATTTTCAAGTGGAAAATGAGATCAGTAGGATGGAGTGTGAAGCATGAGACAGCCAGGAGAAGGGACAGTGGGGATTAATTTGACATGCTCCAATCACATCTTGCCCTAGCATAGCTTCAGCTCACTCTAGCATCTCTGACAACAGGAGAAAAATGGGAATTCAGGGCCTGGAGAAGCAAGGTTACAAGATGGTGATCCTCAAGTCCAAGGCAGCCAGTACATTCCAGTTCTTGCCTCCACAGTACTGGGAAAGGTTAATTGGGCACAGCCTGCTAATTTGGGGATAAGACTGAATATGACTTAAAGGCTGTGGTTCTCAGGCTAGATGCAAGAATAAGAGTTACCTGGGAAGCCATAAAGACTTAAATGTCTCCACATGGTACCTCAGATATTTTGATGTGAGTGATCTGAGACAAAGAATTGGGACAGCCAATGGTTTTGAAATCTCCGTACATAATTCTTCCATGCACTCAAGTGAATAACCTTAGGTTTTACCAGACCCTTCCAGAATACTATCAGATCAGAGAGGCATATCTAGGAAGAAATGGGTCAAATTTGGGTTCTAACTTCTATGTTCCCCGTAAAGTAAATTGAAAAGCTGAAAGTGTCTCCTATGCAGAGGTAGGCTAAGTGTCTCACAGTCAGTTCATTCAAGTTCTAGACAAGCACTCTACCACTAAGCCACATTCCCAGCCCCTCTTTCAAGTTCTGCTCCTAGCGTTTACCTTTTTTTTTGGTGTGGCTTGAACTCTGGGCTTGGGTGCTGTCCCTCAGCTCTTCAGCTCAAGGCTAGCGCTCTACCACTTGAGCCACAGCACACTTCCGGTTTTTTTTTTCTGGTGGTTTATGAGAGATAAGAATCTTATGGACCGGACTTTTCTACCCGGGCTGGCTTTGAACTGTGATCTTCAAATCTTAGAGTCCTGAGTAGCTAAGATTACAACATGAGCCACTGGCACCTGGCTTGCATTTATCAATTTTTTTTGGGGGGGGGGGTCCAGTTATGGGGCCTGAACTCTGGGCCTGGGCGCTGTCCCTCAGCTCTTCAGCTCAAGGCTAGCACTCTACCACTGAGCCATCTTCCCAGCCCACATTTATCAATTTTTTGGGGGCGCACCTACACCTGCTTTCAAGTTTTCAGTATATGATGTCATCATTCATTCATTTATCTTGTATGCTAATTGATCTGAACAGAAGTATAAAAAGTGTTGTGTTCATTTCAGAAGGTACACATTTGTCCTCATGATGCACTGTGGATATCTCTTAGGACACATGCATCTGACTTTATGTAACAAAAGCTGGTAGTTTATCAATCAAATCATTTTTGATATAGTGTATAAGTACTTGCTACTTGGAGGAATCTCACAGTGGATTAATTTCTTGTTGCTAGTGTAACAAATAACCTCAAGCTTTGTGGTTTAAATAACACACATCTATTTTTTGCCATGCCTGGAGGGGAAAGCCTAACATAAGTCTCACTGGGCTAAAAATGAAGTGTAGGCCCATCTGTGTCCACCTAAGGAGGTTGTAGGATAGAATTTGTTTCTTTGCCTCTTTTTGTGGCTTCTGGAGGCTGCCTACACTGTTTGGCTCATTGTCCCTTCCTTTATCAAGGCCAGTAAGGCTGGGCTGAGTCTTCTCATTGAATCTGTCTGACCTTTTCAGTTTCTTCACTTATGTGGACCCAAACAATTACATTGGTCCCACCTGAATGATCCAAGCTAATTTCCCTATTTTAGGTCAGTTGATTATCAATTATGATGAAATGATAATTTCATCCACAATCTTAATTCTTCCCTACTATATAACATGTTCACCGTTCTGAGCAATTGGATTAGGACATGGACTTTTTGGGGAGCTACACTATTCTACATCTAGCCCAGATGAAATTTTATTACAAAGTAGAATAACTGTGACATAAAGTAGAAAATTAATCTGTTTTGTATTCTTTTCTCTTTTCCTTCTATCATTCTTTTATGATGCTGGGGATCCAACCTAGAGCATTGCATGTGGTGGCACACACCTGATCCTGTTGTCTCTTATGGTTTTTCTGGTGGTTTTTTTTTTTTTTTTTTTTGGGTCTGATCATGGGTCCTGAACAATGGGCCTGGGCGCTGTCCGTCAGCTCTTCAGCTCAAGGCTAGCGCTCTACCACTTGAGCCACAGCGCCACTTCCGGCTTTTTTTTCTTTTTGCTTATGTGGTGCTGAGGAATCGAACCCAGGGCTTCAGGCATGCAAGGCAAGCGCTCTACCACTGAGCCAACTTCCCAGCCCCTCTTATGGTTTTTCATATGCACTTATTCAGTCTAAAGTAGGACATACCTGACCATCTATCATTTCATAGTAGTACCTCTAAGCACTCATGTCAACTTCCTAACCATTCACTGTTTCTTGGTACCAAAATGTAACCTTCATTTACCCCCAAATATAGTCTCACCTTGACATCATGCAGTTTCATCATGCAATCTAGTGAGTGTGTAAAGCATAGTTCTTAGTGTTGTTGGGCTATGTTCTACAGGCAACAGGGTTAGTTGTAACAAGGCAGGTGCACTGTGTGTGCAAGACAAGTGTGGGGTAAGGATACACACTTGCTCTTTCTCCTCCCATCCTGCTATTAGCCTCCAGCTTGAGCTCTTCTTGGCTCTTGGTACCAAAATCCCCTCCTTACTTTCCTAGCTTCACACAAACCTTGTTTCCACGCATCTTTCATTATGGTCCAAATCAGCGTCCAATCCCTCATCTCTCTGCTCAAACACCTATAGTGGATTCTCATTATTTGAGCACATTGAATCTGAATTCTTTGGACTGGACTGAGAACTCTGTTTTTTTTTTTGTTTTGTTTTTTGTTGTTTTTTTTTTGATCCAGTCGTGGGGCCTGAACTCTGGGCCTGGGCGCTGTCCCTCAGCTCTTCAGCTCAAGGCTAGTGCTCTACCACTTGAGCCACAGCGCCACTTCCGGCTTTTTTCTTTTTGTTTATGTGGTGCTGAGGAATCGAACCCAGGGCCTCAGGCATACAAGGCTCTACCACTGAACCACCTTCCCAGCCCCTGGACTGAGAACTGTGAAGCAACTTTTTCTGCCAACTCCCTAATCTGTCTGCCCTCTTCTCTCATTTTCCTCTCCAGCTAAGAAACTATGCTTATCAACCTGCCCATGTGGTTTGTTCATTTCTGTGCTTGCTCCTTGCCTTTGAACACATCCCATTTGTCCCTATTAACTAATTCATGCCTATCACTTCAAGATCCAGCTAAAACATGCTCTTGCAGCCAGCCAGTCTTGTAAACTCTGTCCTGTTCTTTGTTCCATACCACACTATTACATTTATTTCACATTGTCTTTTTTCCTGACTGGTATTTTGCTTCTGAAAAAGTAACAGGACTTATTTGTTGGGTACCTATTATGTACCATGCAGTATATAGTTTCTCATTTAATGGATGTATAGGTGCTCCATTTTTCAGTCAATAAGATTCGGGTTCAAAAATGTTTGGATACTTTCTTGGGTCCACACAGCTAGGAAGCAATATGGCTGGGACCTGAACCTCAGTTGTCCGATTACAGAACTCTGAACATGCTTTGTGAGTGTTGTCTCTCCAGTAAGGGTATAACTTATCTGGAGCATTGAAGCATATAACTGTGACTGCTGGATCACTTCTACAAAGCACCCTATTGCTCCTAACTCAGGCAATACCCTCAGATCCCTGCGCAGCCTATTTCCTCTCAGACCTCTGGTCATACAGGTCTCAGTCATGAACTCTGAAACTAGTTGTAGCTGGGTGTGGATTCTGGCATTCTTGGAATCCAAGCATTTGGGAGACTGAAGCAAGAGAATCATGAATTCAACAAAGCCAGCCAGGACTGCATAGTAAAACCCTGTCTCAGGAAAAAAAAAAGGGGAGGGGGGCTGGGTGAAGGTGCCTCACACCAGTAATCCTAACTACTTAGGAGGATATGATCTGAGGACCACAGTTTGAAAACCACCCCAGGCACAAAAGTATGAGAGACTCCATCTTAAATTCAGCAATAAGCTAGACTAGAGGCATGGCTCAAGTGTTAAGGTGCAAACTGTGAATGTGAATAAAAAATGAGAGTGTAAGACCCTGAGTTCAAGACCTGGTACTGGTACATGCATGCATGTACACATGTGCACGTGCCCACGCACGAACCAACTAAACAACTCCCCTAATTGGTTGTACTACAGAATCACCTAGGAAACTGGAAAAAATTCAGATGCTCAGGTATTGCCTACAACCAATGAATGCATGGTTTCCAGCAGTAGAACCAGGCATCCTTAATATATAGTCAATGTGAAAATTCACAGTGACAATGTGAAAAGAACACAGGAGGCCATTCAGTTGGAAAGCTGTTTCTCCTTATAAAGCCCTTCTATTTGTCAGGAAGTCACACCTCCCCCGCATGCCTATCTCTGATCCCCCTTCCTTACTGGTTAATTTGGCTTTTTACCCAAAAACATCTGAGGAGAGCAGCAATCACAGGTTGTGGAAATGGCCACAAGCCAATTAAACAGCACCAGGCAGGTTCCCAAACCAATGGGAATCCTGTGACTTGCAGGTGGAAAATTAACATATTAAAGCTTTCTGGGTTTCCCAAATACAAAAATAAAGTAAATAATTTGTTCTTTTAGAAAGAGCAAACTCTCTACGCTTAAGCTGTTAACACCACATCCTCCAGCCAAATCCTTTAAAAAGGGAAAGCTACACCTACTCTAAGTGCCTGCTGGTTGGCAGGCAGGCAGGCCTGCCCCATCCCTGCTGGTTACTGTATTAGCAGGAGAGCTGTGGAGGAGGCAACTGACCACCACTGCCAGACTTTGCACAGCTCACAATAACTGTTTACCAGTCTGAAGGAGCTGATCTGTGAGAAAGTTTCTAAAGTTCTGCATGCTCTGGACTTGGAGGTGAAATGGGGTTGAAGCTCTATCTACTCCGCTCCTCCCCAAGCATCCACCCTGGTTCTGTCCACATGCTCAGATCTACCTCCTCCATGATTCAAAATGAGTCTTCCTCAACTGGTTCCCTCTCTGCCTTCCTTCATCCCTCCTTTTCTTCTCTTCCTTTCTTGTTTTTGCACTAATACTGGGACTTGAACTCAGGTTCTGGGTACTCTCCCTTAGTCCCTTAGCTTTTTTTTAAATCAAGTCTGGTGCTCTGCCACTAAAGCTATAGCTCTGCTTCGAGATTTCTGGTGGTTAATTGAAGATAAGAGTCTCTTGGACTTTCCAGTCTGGCTTCAAAGCAAGAACCTTAGATCTCAGTCTCCTCAGTAGCTAGGATTACAATGGTGATCCACTGGTGCCTGCTTTCTCTGGTTTTTTTCTGCACATAATTTTTTTTTATTGTCAAGGTGATGTACAGAGGGGTTATAGTTACACAAATAAGGTAATAAGTACATTTCTTCTCAATCTTGTTACCCCTTCCCTCATTTTTCTCCTACTTTCCCTCCCATCTCCCCACCTCCAAGTTGTAGAGATCATTTCCAACATACTGTCTTGTATATATGGCTGTTGCATTGGTTCCCCCCTTGTCCTTTGTCTCACCATTCTGTTGGTTTCCCTCTCTTATTTTTGATGTTAGTACTAGAGATGGAACCCAGGAGCTTGCAAATGGTAGGAAAGCACTCAAATAGTGAACTCCATTTCTAGTAATTTGCCAAATTCTTTTGTATGTTCCAGTTCTGGGGCTTGAACTCAGGACCTGGGCACTGTCCCTGAGCTTTCCTTAGGGCTAGTGCACTACTACTTGAGTCACAGCTCCATTTTTTTAGTAGTTAATTGGAGATAAGAAGCTCATGAGGGGCTGGGAAGATGGCTCAGTGGTAGAGCGCTTGCCTTGCATGCATGAGGCCCCGGGTTCAATTCTTCAGCACCATATAAGCAAAAAGAAAAAAGCCGGAAGTGGCACTGTGACTCAAGTGGTAGAGTGCTAGCCTTCAGCTGAAGAGCTGAGGGACAGTGCCCAGGCCCAGAGTTCAGGCCACATGACCGGACCTAAAAAAAAAAAAGAGGCTCATGAACCAGGCACTGGTGGTTCATGCCTGTAAATCCTAGCTGGCTAAGATCTGAGGATTGAGGTTTGAAGCCAGCCTAGGCAGGAAAGCCCGTGAGACTCTTATCTCTAATTAATCACAGAAAAAGTCAGAAATGGCGCTGTGGCTCAAGTGGTAGAGGGATAACATAGAGTAAAAGGAGTTCAGGGACAGTACCCTGAGTTCAAGCCCCAGGACTGGCAAAAAAAAACCACACCAAAACCAAAAAGAATCTTGTGTACTTCCTGCCCCTGCTGGATTCAAACTGCTTTCCTCAGTCCTCAGCCTTCTGGGTAGCTAAGATTACAGGCATGAAGCACCGCTGCCTGGCTCTTTGCTATCATTTTTTATTTTGAGACATTTTCACTCACAATGTAGTCCTAGCCTATACCTTGAATTTATGATGTCTTTGCCTTAGCCTCCATAGTGCTAGAACTACAACAGTGCTAGGATTACAGGCATGTACCACCATGCTCAGCTTTGTGAATATATTTTCCTATAATACAACATGAGAAAAATTGGGAAGTACTGGTCTAGCAGTAGTTTTCAGTTCTTCAGTTATCCTACCATGTGGAGAAATTCTGATCACAGGTTCATCTGACAATTCCTAGCAATCCCTAATACTGGCTGACCATCCATCCTACGTGGTCAATATAGTATCTGGAGGGCTGAGAAGGGAAGGAAAGAAAACTCAACAGGGTCCAGGGTCCAGAACCACAGAATCTTACTTCACAATCTCATGCTTTCTTTCTCATGTTTCATAAGCATGTTCCTGGAGAGAAACAGCCCCATCAAAGCAGAGTTTACCTTGGCATCCATGATGCTTGTCTCCACTCGGGCCACACCCTGGTTCTCCCGGAACAGCTGGATCTTACTGATCTTGCTGAACTCAGACAGCACAGTGGTGAGGTTGGTTTTGAGGTCAATAACATGGCTGATGCCGTGACGGGGTCCCACTAGGAGAGTGGTGGCTGACTGTTTCTCGTCCTGGTGTCCAAGCATGGCCGGCCGGCAGCATTCACAGAGAAGCAGGAAGACAGAAGACAGGAGGAAACAGAAAATGCACATTGCACTGGTTCTGCTGGGTAGGGAGGGGGTGGTAGAAATGCCTGGAGCACAATATCAGGGCAGAGCCACTGCAGCAAGAGGGTTAAGTGGCCAGCAGCAGGGCTAGCTCTAGCAAAGTGGTGAAGGAAGTTCTCAGGCCTTTGGAGAACCTTCCTCTACTAAGCCCCAGACTTTCTACTGCTGGCTGCAGGCGATTTGAGACCCTCACCTAACCTTCTGTCTGACTAGACAACTTTGTGCCAAGATTTTATCCTCCCTTCCCCAACAGCCAAAAGCTGAAGTGATAAATAAACTCTACGTAACATATCAAAGGTAAATTAGATGCTTAATAGACTCTTCTGCTAGGTATAGTTGTCTCAACTGTAATCCTAGCTACTCAAGAGGTCGAGATCTAAGGATCACAGTTTGAGGCCAGCCAAGAGAGAAAAATCTGAGAGACTCTTATCTCCTATTAACCACCAAAAAGCCTCAAGTGGGACTGTAGCTCAAGTGGTATAGCCTTGAGCAAAAAAAGCTCAGGGGTAGCACCCAGGACCCTGAGTTCAAGTCCCATGACAAGCACACATACACACACACACACACACACACACACACACACACACACACACACACACACACACGAGTGTTTTAATAAGCATTTCTGGGGCTTGAACTCAGGCCTGGGCTCTGTCACTGAGCTTCTCTGTGCTCAAGGCTAGCACTCTACCAGTTGAGCCACAGTGCCACTTCTGGCTTTTTCTGAGTAGTTCATTGGAGATAAGAATCTCTCAAATTTCCTGCCCAGGCTGGTTTTAAACCACAATCCTCAGATCTCAGCCTCCTAAGTAGCTAGGATTACAAGCATGAGCCACTGATGCCCAGCTTCCTGAAATTTTAACCCAAAAGAAATGTCCAATAGAAGTTTTTGCAATGATAGATGAAAGGAAAAGAGATTTGAGGGGTGTTTGTGGGTGAAAGGAGGGTACAGGGGGCTTTCAGTGATCTCAGTATTTAAATGTCTGTCTGTAGGTGTAATAGACTGGATTCCCTTACATGGTCCTGACATACTCTCTGGAGCCATCAAACCAGAGCCTTGTTCTGGCCCACCTTTCTGCCATTAGCATCACCCTTGGGAGCCCCTTTGTCTTTCTACTGGCATTTTGATAATACTGCTTTCTTTCCCCATGCAGTTTGCAGGACTGAGTGCTCGACAGAGTGTGACAAGCACCTGGCACCAATCAGCAAGATGTTTTGAAAATTTTTTCACCTGGGTCAAGGACCTTGGGGCATATTTGTAGGGGTGGGGCTATTGTGCCCTGCATGAGCATTGCTTCTGCAGTGTCAATGTTGCACCTGCAGGGGGCGTGATGGGGCAATCAGGAAACCTGGGGTAGGGGACTACCAGAGTATGCCTAAGGCCAGTGAAATAGAGCAGGGGCTGGCAAAAGGGCCTGTGGGCTAAATCCATCCTATCACCTGTTTTGTGTGGACCAGGAGCGGGGAATGGTTTTTATATTTTAGATGGCTGGAAAGAAACTCAAAGGACCATGTTTGTTTTTTTTTTTAATAAAAACAAATTTTGTGGCATGTAAAACTTATATGAAATTCAAATTTCTGTGTCCCTAAATAAGCTACTGTCACAAACAATGCTTATTTGTTAATATATTGTCTAGTGCTTTCATGCTAAGATGGCAGGGATGAGGAGCTGTCCCAGACAAACATTTGGGGGCTGGGAAGGTGGCTCAGTGGTAGAGCACTTGCCTTGCATGCATGAGGCCCTGGGTTCGATTCCTCAGCACCACATAAGCAAAAAGGAAAAAGCCAGAAGTGGCACTGTGGCTCAAGTGGTAGAGCGCTAGCCTTGAGCTGAAGAGCTGAGGGACAGCACCCAGGCCCAGAGTTCAGGTCCCACGACTGGACCAAAAAAAAAAACAAAACCAAACATTTGGCACATCCATAAGAGCCTATAATCTTTACTATCTCACCCTTTTCAGGAAAAGGTTGCCAACCCCTAAAATAGAAGAGGGACACAAAAGAATTACAAAAGGGTTCTTAAAAAATGCAGGTGGCTCCTAGTATCCATGAGAGTTTAGTTCCAGGGCTTCCCCTTGAAGGTTCTAATATCCATATATGCTCTGGTATATACATAGGTATGTATAATGTATAAAAATGCATAATTTATAATATCTAAATCGTGCATTTTTATTACCTTTAAATAGTTGGACAAAGAGTTTTCAATCCAACATATCAATTTATGTGTATAGTACATCTCAAATATATATATATATATATATATATAATTTTTATTTTAGGATTTGATTTTAGGATCTCATACTTGTTAGGTAGGCACTCTATCACTTCATCCATGTCTCTAGCCTCTTTTACTAATTTCTTCTAATAGGGTTTTATGTTTAGCAATCCTCATATTGATGATTCCCGTATAGCTGGGATGACAGGTGCATACCACTTCACCTAGCTTTCATTGGTTGATGGTAAGGGTCTTGCAAACTTTTTGTCTGGACAGGCCTTTAGCTGAAGTCCTTTGGATTTCTGCCTCCTGTGTAGCTAGGATTACAGGTGCTAGCCACCTTGCCTGGCTAGTGTGTGTGTGTGTGTGTGTGTGTGTGTGTGTGTGTGTGTGTGTGTGTGTGTGTCCATGTGGATGTATATATTTAAGATTGGGTATCACTAGGTAGACTAGGCTGATCTCAAACTCACAATCCTCCTGTCTCAACTTCTGAGTGCTGGGATCATAGGTAGATAGGTAGCAGCATGCCCAACTCTCTTACATATCTTTTCAAAACTTTTGAAGTTTTTGTTGTTATTGTTGTTGGTCATGGGGACTGAACTCTGGGTCTGGGTGCTGTCCCTCAGCTCTTTAGCTCAAAGCAAGCGCTCTACCACTTCAGCCACAGAGCTTTGGCCTTTTCTGCTTGTGTGGTGCTGAGGAATCGAACCCAGGACCTCATGCATGCAAGGCAAGCATTCTACCACTGAGCCACTTCCACAGCCCTGCAGTTTATTTTTTATTGGTACTGGGGGTAAAATTCAGGGCCGGACACTTGCTAGTCGAGTGATCTACTACTTGAGCCATGCCTCTCCAGTCTTTTTGCTTTTGGTTTGTTTTTCAGAAAATGAAAATATCTTCTGCTTTTTACTCAGGCAGTCCCTGGAGTGTGATCCTCCTATCTGTTTCACTCAAATAGCTGGGATTACAGGAGTGTAACACCATGTCTGGCCACATCTTACATATACTTGATATTATTTACAATACCTAATTAGCGTAAATGTGGTGTTAACATCTGTCATATGTTTTGCTTAGGAAATAATTAAAATAAAAAGCCTATATATATATTCAGTACTGCCACATTTTTTCTTAGAGTAATTTTTGGTTCACATTTGGGATCCATAGATGTGGAAACCTTGAATTCAAGGTCCTTCCTGTGCCACCTCTACCCAAGGTCACCAACAAAGAGCTGCCCTTCCTCCACCACACCCACCCCATCACACCCTCCCCTACCATACCCCACTGACCAGGCCCACAGTGTTGAACAAAACGCCAGTGAAGGTCGGAAGTTCATTCAGAATTCGAAGGTACTGGAGCTTTGCTTGAATTGCAGAGCCCTGTGGAAACAACCCACCCTGGAATATGAGAAGCCCCACAAGCACAGGAAAAACAAATTTATGTTAACAAAAGAGGAGTCTCAATATCAAGACAGGCACCAGTCACTAAGCTATGCTGTGGGAATGAGGAGAGGCTGGGGTGAAACTAGAGGAAGGTTCCAGATTGGACTGCTCTCACCTCTACCATTCTCCCTTTCCAAGCCTCCTGATCCTGGCTCTTAAAGCATCCAACTGACTCATTTTGAGCTTGCTTTTAATTCTAATACTTTCTTTCACCTCTGATACCCACTTCATCTATGCTTTTTTTTCTGAGATCCTTCAAATCCTTTGAGCCACTTAGGCACTGCCCATCTGAAGCTGAGGGTCTTACTCTGCTTTTTCATTGAGTAGCATGACATCTCAAGCCTGCTCTTCACCTGATCTTCTAGACCTCTGTCAGCATCTCTAAGGCTATTGAGAAATCTCTGACACTGGACTCCATCCTCTCATCTGCAATAATCACCAAATTATCTTCACTTTTCCCAACTCTCTCCAACCTCTTTATCTCTATTCTTTTGCCCTATAGCCATTTGCCTTGACATTCTCTCTTGTGGCAGAGGGAGTCAGATTACTTTTATTTACTACAGATACTCTTCCCTCAGCTGCCTCCATCCTTCCCTCAGTTGCCTCCACCCACTGTTAGCAGGAGCATCCAAAACCATAGTAACTTTTTTTTGTGGGTTGTTATAGGGCTTGAACTCAGGGCGTGGGCACTGTAGCTTTTTTTTTTTCAGTTGTGGGGACTGAACTCTTAGCTTGGGCACTGCCACTCGGGTCTTCCGCTCAAGGTTAGCACTCTACCACTTGAGCCACAGCGCCACTTCCGGCTTTTTTTCTGCTTATATGGTACTGAGGAATTGAACCCATGGCCTCATGCATGCAAGGCAAGCACTCTACCACTGAGCCACCTTCTCAGCCCCTGTCCCTAGCTCTTTTGTTTAAAGCTAGTGCTCTACCACTTTGAGCCATAGCACTGATTTTCTCATGATTAATTGGAGATAAGAGTCTCATGGACTTTCCTGCTCAAGCTGGCTTTGAACCACAATCCTCACATCTCAGATTCCTGAGTAGCTAGAACTACAGGTGTGAGCCACCAGTGCCCCATCCCATAGTAACTTTAATCACAACTGCTTCCTGCTTCAATCCTGCTTCCGTTCTCTGAGCCTACCTCCAAGCCCCAGCACAGAAGGTCTTCTGAACAGACTCCTGTTGACTTCCCTACCTCTTCTCTTGTCCCTGCTACACCCCATGCCTTCTGTGTACTTGCTAAGAGTAAGCTATCTGCTTTCCTGCCCTCATACCATAGTCTCTCCTATCTCTGGACTTCTGTACAAATGGATTTCTCTGCTTAGGAAAGTCTTCCACTACCTAACCCAACCAACTTATGTAGACAAACTCCTAGCTATCTGTCCTTTCTTCAAGACCAAGATCTAGCACCAAATGTACCAGTTCCTGGCGTGTTCTTCCTCTCCCAGCCTGTGCTTAGTGTCCCTCCTCTGTGTTTCCAGAGCTCATGGAACCTATGACATTGTGTTGGGGCTGACTATTGTGTTTCTGCATTAGACCGTGCCTGATTCTGTCATGCCTTCTTCAGCTTTGTATCTCCAGGCTCAAAAATATAAAATGCTAGTGGTGGAGATGGTGGTGAGCACTGGTGCTCTCAGCTGAGAAGAAAACAATGCTATTAAATATGTGCAGCAAGGTGGGAATGGCTTAGCTTTCTGAGAGAAATTGGCATCTTAAAATAGAAGCTAGCTGGCAATCCAAGAAATCTGGAATGGCTGAAAAATATGAGTGGGATCCATCCATGTCCTGCATCTACATCCCTGTGTAGATTCTAGCATTTCTCACCACTCAATAGCCTCTGGGGTAGGAAACAAGTACATGGAGCCTCAGAAGCCTAAGAAGGGACTACAGAGTCAGTACCAGGGGAGGCAGGAGAGAGGTCTCTCATAGGCAAAGGTGTGTGCACAGAAATTGGAGAACAGCACAGTTGTAACCTTGGCCCTCATGTTTTCCCTGTGGTCCATTCTGCACATTAGGCCTTGTCACATCCTCCACCCACACCCTGGTTGGGCTTTTATGTTCCAGAATTCCACATCCCAGGACTGATGAACTTGAGAAGTAGAGCAGTCATTTCCACAGAAAGCATGTGTCTCTCCTGGGGGTAATGCATGCCATAGGACACATGCTCAATTAGCACTAATTGGTGAAAGAATAGAAGAATAGTGTTTGGTCACTTTGCATTGAGGACCCAAAACTTGCTCAATGAATTCTACTCTGAGTTGTGACTCAGAGAATCTCTGAGTTGTGACAGACTCCTGTCTGTAACAGCCCCATACTTCATACCAACCCAGATATATACATGAGTCAAAAATTAGGGAACCCCAGAAAATGAACAGACACCTCCATCCTCCCCAAGACCTCTAGTGCCTAAACACAGTGCCTAATTGCCTTTAGTACCTTGGTGCCACTAGAAGGATGAGTTTGGTGAGCTTTCAGTTGCTGAGAGAGAGATTTTCGAAGGTTCTTCTCTTTAATGCCCTGCAGGAGGGAGGGGGGAAGAAAGGGTTCCAAACCCCACTCCTTCCTAAAAGCAAAAGAAAAGGAAGAGGTTAGTAAGAGAGACGAAGTAAGACAGAGAGAAGATGGTAAGACAAACTGACTGAAGCAGAGTGGCAGAGATGGACAAATAGAAATTGAGAGAAGGGGCTGGGGACAGAACATCATTGGTCCTCAGTGGGAACTGTAGCTGTAGGCTACAACAGTCTAGGTGTGAAGACTTTTGATTCTCACTCCTACAGCATGCATACTTTTGTGAAATGCACAGCAGAGCATCTTCTCCCTATGCAGCAATCTGTCCCCACTCCAAAGGGTTCTCCACAACTCACTCCACATTCTTGAGTGAGATCTTCTGAGTAGGCCGAGTAGCTGAGACAGTGATATAGATGTGGAGGGCAGCAAGGCCCAAAAGCATCTCTGGCTTAGGGTCCATTCCAAAGCGTTCTCGGATAACATCATTTCGACTCTGTGAGAGAGGGCAGGACAAATTAAGTTAAATGGACATTTTCTTCCCACCCCAATCTAGCCCTTTATCATGTAGAAAAGAATTAGGCATCATTTAAGGCAGGAGGGATCAAAGGGATGAGGAAGAGAAGAGACACCATTCGCTTTACTCAGCAGGTACTAGACAGCCTTCTCAGTGACAGGTGCACACAGAGGCAAGGCCCAAGTGGGAAGAAAACTAAGTTTACTGCCCAAGTGAGACATAGCACCACTTTTCTTCTTTCCTCCTGTCATAAAAGATCTTCCCATCTTTTTTTCAGGGCCCTATTCACATTCCTCCCAGTCATACAAGGCTCTTCTACTAGTTCAAATAGGAACAAAGAGAGATATTGGGAGGGGCTTTCCATGGAGCTCTGACTCAGAATCCCAATATAAGATAGACTGCAGGGATGGGACAGACATTATATTCTTTGAGGTCTTAAGGCCAAACACATTGATGAGTCACTCTCCTTCTATGCTGTCATGGGTGTGAGGTTTCCTAGAACCAATGGCCAACAGTATGATAACAAAACAAACCCACAAACAAATGACAAAAAGGGGGAAAAAACCTTACAAACAAATAACAAAAATAAAAAAACAAGACAGCTGCTGGAAGCTCATGCTTGTAATCCTAGCTACTCAGGGGGCTGAGATCTGAGGATCATGATTCAAAGCCAGCCCGGGCAGGAAAGCCCATGAGACTCTTATCACCAACCACTAGAAAACTGGAAGTGACATAGTGTCTTAAGTGGTAGAGCACTAGTCTTGAGCTGAAAGCTCAGGGACAGCGCCCAGGTCCAGATTTCAAGCCCCACAACCAACAAAAACAAACAAACAAACAAACAAACAAATAAATAATTTTTTAAAACCCTACCACCACCACCACAAACAACAACAAAAACTCTCATTTCCATTTCCTGGAATTTGTTTCAATACATAGTATTTTAAATGTCCAGAGGAGTTATGCTCTTGGGTTTTCCCCCTTAGAGTACCCCGCTTTGGTCTCACTGTGTGTGAATGCCTAGATTCCTGTATAAATTATCATGTCCCAGTGCATTTTAGTTCTACCTCCCACATATGAGAGAAAACATGCACCATTTGTGTCTTTTAGCGTGGCTTACCTCACTTAACATGATTTGTTCTAGGTCCATCCAGTTCCCTGCAAGTGACATAATATTATTCTTTCTAATGGATGAATAAAATTCCATTGTGTATACGTTCCACATTTTTTGGATCCACTCATCTATTGTAGGTCATCCACATTTGGCTATTGTGAATAGTGCAAGTGTCTTTACAGTATCCTGGCTTGTGAAGTTCTGGTAGATGCACAAGAGTGGTATGACTGGGTACTACCAATTTTTTAGTTTATATATTAATTGTACCAACAGTTTTTACCATGCTATTTTAGATGTGCCTATATTGTATTATGATCAGAATAATTCTCTCTATCGCTTCACTCCCCCCCATCCTCTCAACCCTTAGTTTTTTGTTTTTTTTGGGGGGGGGTCCAGTCGTGGAGCCTGAACTCTGGGCCTGGGTGCTGTCCCTCAGCTCTTCAGCTCAAGGCTAGCACTCTACCACTTGAACCACAGCACCACTTCCGGCTTTTTCTGCTTATGTGGTGCTGAGGAATCGAACCCAGGGCCTCAGGCATGCAAGGCAAACACTCTACCACTGAGCCACCTTCCCAGCCCCTGTAACATTTTTTGTGTGCCATTATTAGGGATTGAACTCAGGGTCTCATGTTCTCACTAAGCTTTCTCACTTAAGCTTGGCAATCTACTACTTAAGCCCACCTCCAACTTTCAGCTTTTTGGTGGCTAATTGGAGGTGAGCATACCATGCATTTTTTTGCCTGGGTTGGTGTTGAACTCCAATCCTCAGATCTCAGCCTCTTGAGCAGCTAGGATTATAGGCATGAGCCTCCAGTGCCTTGCTACAAATCCCTTATTGATCAGTAGTTTTCACTGAGATCCTTTATGGTTCTTGGCAATACATATGAAAGTAACTAAAAATAGATTATAAACTTAAATGTAAAACTTAAGCTGACAAAACTTCTAGAAAAAATATAAAGGGGGTTGGGAAGGTGGCTCAGTGGTAGAGCGCGTGCCTTGCATGCATGAGGCCCTTCGTTCGATTCCTCAACACCACATAAGCAGAAAAAAAAAAGCCGGAAGTGGCACTGTGGCTCAAGTAATAGAGTGCTAGCCTTGAGCTGAAGAGCTGAGAGACAGCACCCAGGCCCAGAGTTCAGGCCCCACGACCAGACCCCCCCCCCCCCCAAAAAAAATATATATATATAGGATCATTGTGACCTAGAGTTAAACAAATATTTTCTAGATGCAACACTGGAAACATTGTCCATAAAAGAACAAATAACAAACTGGACTTAATCAGTATTCAAACATATGCTCTGTAAAATATTGTTTAGAGATTGAAAAGGCAAGCCACAGAATAGGAGAAAATAATTGAAAATAACACATCTGACAAATGACTTGTTTCCAGAATAGATAAAGAACTCCCAAAATTTGGTAATAGGAAAACAAACAACTCCCCCCAAAAAAGCTAGAAAATGATTTGAACAGACATTTACCAAAGAAGATGCACAGAAGTTACTCAACATCATTATTCATTAGAGAAATATAAGTGGATGCCACAATAAGATCTTATATAGTACTAGAAAGATTAAAGTAACATTTTGACAAGGATGTGGAGAAACTGGAACTCTAATATATGACTGGTAAGAATGTAAGATGGTACAATCTTTGGAAAATACTGTTGCACTTTCTTTCAAAAATTAAAGAAGTAGTCAGGCACCAGTATAGAAGTAGCCAGGCACCAGTGGGTCATACCTGTAATCCTAGCTACTCAGGGGAGTGAGATATTAGGATCACAGTTCAAAGCCAGCTGGTGCAGAAATGTCTCCAGGAGATGCTTATCTCCAATTAATCACTCAATATCCAGAAGTGGAGCTTCTGGTTTAAAGTGGTAGAGCACTAGCCTTGAGCAAAAGAGTTCAGTGACAGCACAAGGTCCTAAATTCAAAATCTATGATCACCACTACCACCAACAAAACAAACAAACAACCAAAAAAAAAAACCCTAAAGAAGCAAGGCAGGTACTGGTGACTCATGCCTGTAATCTTAGCTACTCAGGAGGCTGAGATCTGAGGATCTCAGTTCAAAGTCAGCCTGGACAAGAAAGTCCATGAGACTCTTATCTCTAGTTAAGCACCACCACTAACAACAATAACTAAAAAGCCAGAGTGGAGTTGTGGCTTGAGGAAAAATCCTCAGGGACACAAGCCCTGAGTACAAGCCCCAAGACTTGCACAAAAAAATGAAACAAAATAAACCAAAACTAAAGAAAGATAGCTGAGCTTGGTGGCAAATATCTGCAATCCTTGCAGTCAGAAGGCAGAGGCAGGAGTATTACAAGTTGGAGCCCAACCTGAACTACATAGCATGCTTCAGCTTAGACCCTGTCTGAAATCTGGTCACCTAGAAAAGAATACTAAAGAAAAATAGATCTACTGTATGAGCAAATCCATTTAATTGTTATTTGCACAGGAGAAAAAAAGCATGTGCTAATACAAATATTTGAATATGAAAGCTTTATTTGTAATACCCAAATATCTATCACCAGGTACAAAAAAAATCTGGGATAGTACTTGACAATAAAAACAAAAGAAATATTGATATATGCAACCACACAGATGGATTGTGATAGAAAAATAAGCTAGACTAAAATAACAATGCATACTGTATATATAAACTTAAAAAAATAAATTTATAGTTAGGGAAAGCAGCTCAAAGGTTGCCTGGTGCTTGGGGAGAGGAATTTGCAGAGGAGCTTCAGGAAATTTCTGGGGATATTATATATGCTCAGTATGTTGATAGCAATGATGGTTTTGATGGTAATGTGTGTGTGTGTGTCACAATTTATAGTGTGTACTTTAAACAGGTATAGTTTGTTGTATGTCAATTGGACCTCAAAAATGGATATATAAAAAAGAAGAAATATACAGAGGGAAGAAATCTAGAAATTGTCTTGTCATCAAATTCCAAAATATTAGAATGAAGGTAATCCTCAAAAGTATGAATGAAGAAATTCAAGGCAAACAAAATGAGAACTGGGCTGGGAAGGTAACTCAGTGGTAGAGCGCTTGCCTTGCATGCTTGAGGCTCTGGGTTCGATTCCTCAGTACCACATAGCAGAAAAAACTGGAAGTGGAACCCTTGGCTCAAGTGGTAGAGCACTAGCTTTGAGCTGAAGAGTTGAGGGACAGCGCCCAGGCCCAGAGTTCAGGCCCCACAACCGACAAAAAAAAAATGAGAACGAAATTTCTAAAATTCATAAAGCAACCACACAACTCACTGCTCCCCTCTAGGGTTGGCAAAGGAACCTGAGAAGGAGAAATATTCATAACATTTTAGATGGTCACAAAGGGCAGAAAGGACAACCACGATGTCTTACAGCACTTTATCAGGTGTCATAATCAGAGACAAATGAAGTTCCTTCCCCTACCTTTCAAGTGCTTTGTATATCCTGTGGGCACTTTAAACTCAACATGTCTCAAAATTAACTCATCTTGTCCCCAAACCCACTCCACTGCCTCCATTCCATGACTTGAGTAATGACACCATTTCTATGAAACACTCATTAAGTCAAAGTGTATTGACTGTACCTTTTAAGTCTCCTTTGAGTTCCACCCCATCCCTCCATCACAGTCCTGATTTCTCCTTAGGATAATAGCAAAGTTCCCCAGGTAGAGTACTTCCTTATCACTGTGTAATCTTCTGAAATTGCTTATCTGACCAGGCTATTCATTCATCATTTATGTGTCCCCACTCTCCAGCAGAATTTCTTTACCTTGTCTCTACATTAGTCTCACCTGAAGAATTTTTCAAAATGCCAATATTTTGGCCCCACTACCATACTTTTTTCATCCGTTTTAGGTGGGCCAGAAGGTTTTTTTTTTTTTTTAATCAAAGGCTAGTGGCTAAGGTTAATATCCACTGTCTTGAAAGTAAAATAGGCTCTTTTGAGGGGAGAATACCCGTGGTATGGTGGAAGGCTAATGAGAGTAAATGAAGGTGAATAAGGTTGAAGTAGTTTATTTGCATGCATAAAATCTGTTGAAATTGTTTTAAGAAGGGGGGAAGAGAGGTGAGAGTGTGATGGAGATGAGTTTGATTGGGGGTACACTGTATGCATGTATAGAAATGTTATGACACCGATGTACAAGCAAGGTATGCTAATAAAGAAGAACCATTGTACTAAAAGAGGATTTGGGGTATCAGAATCTGATAGACGGTCTGTTAAAACAGATCACTGAGCTTTACCTCAAGAGTTTGTGATTCAGGAGGGCTGAGCTAAAGACCAAGAATTTGAACTCCAGTAAGTTCCCAGTTGGGGCTGATGCTGCTGGTTCAGGAATACTGTGAACATTGCTCGGTCTCTATCATAAAGCCTAACAAGCCCTTGGTCACCTGGTTCCTGTCTCTCCAACATCATTTCCAACTGCTTCTTATGTCACATCCTGCACTGCAACTATCATACATGGCTCACAGTTTTCTCATCATGCCATGCATGAAAGTAAGAGCCCCTACTTACAATATATAGTAAACATCACTATTCCTTCAAAGCCAAGAGCGTGCCTGAATCATTTTTTGGGGAGGGGGGTCTGGTCGGGGGGCCTGAACTCTGGGCCTGGGCGCTGTCCCTCAGCTCTTCAGCTCAAGGCTAGCACTCTACCACTTGAGCCACAGCGCCACTTCCGGCTTTTTTTCTGCTTATGTGGTGCTGAGGAATCAAACCCAGGGCCTCATGCATGCAAGGCAAGCACTCTACCACTGAGCCACCTTCTCAGCCCTGCCTAAATCATTTTTATGCCTGAATCGTTTCTTCTATAAAGCCTTCACTGTCTCTCTCTCAGGAATTTATTCCTGAGTGTCCTCATTGACATTGAACTCTGCCATCGTTGTATTTATTTATGCATACATGAGCTCTAGTGAGCCAGGATGGTTCTTTCTTCACCTCTGATTGCCAGTATCTAGCATTTGGCTTGGCTCAGAGTAAGTGCTCAATAAATATTTCTGGATGTAGTGAGTTGGGAACTTATTCCTTACTGGAGCTAGGTACTGCAGTTTGAGATCCCCTGAGACATAAAAGGGCTTGTTAAACTTTGGGATCTTGTGAAGGCACTAGTTACTGGGGTTGCTCATTCCTGAAAATGGATGAGCTTTGTGAGGATACTTAGGTAGGACTAAACCACGGCCAAATCAAGTCACAAGATCAATCTACTTTGCCATGGACCACAATGGTAGCAGAAAAAAAGGGCTTTCAGAGCTATGAGGAGATTGGAAAGACTTAACATACTGACTTAATTGTGATGCTAGATCAATCTGCCTTTTTGTCCACATAGCTGCCTGTGTATCCCCAAGCCAGACTCTACCTGGATGTATAGGTACTCAAAAGCAGCAGGATCCCGACGCAGTAGTTCCACGGGGTCTTTGGGAAAGAAGCTTATTCGGAAGAGGCATTTCATTCCATGATAATGGGTCCGCTGTACCACCTGAATTCAAGGATGAGAGGTGGGGACAAGATATCTAGAATGAATGGAAGTCAGTTTGGTGGCTTCTTAAAGTAGGGCTAAGGACAGAGCTAGGCTGCTGTTTTCTATCTGGTAAGATTCATGTTCAGTAGTCTTCTTTACTGAGTTTTCATGTACCCATGTCCAAAAATATCAAATGGGAAATTCCAGAAATAAATAATTCATGGGGTTTCAATGCCTTTTATTATAGTACCTTTTATAAATCTTCTATTTTATTGCTAGTTATTGTTATTAATCTGTTACTGTATCTAAATTATACATAAAATGTTGTCATAGGCATGTAAGTGTAGGGAAAAAACAGTATATATAGAGTTAGTATGCTGAGGGCTGAATTTGTAGATTTTTTCCCAAACATTTCTTCTTTTTTGTGTCTTAATTTTCCCTTCCTCCCTCTCTCCCTCCTTTCCTTCTTTCCATCCTCTTTCTTTTTTAAAATTTTATTTATTTAATTTTTTTTGGGTCCGGTTGTGTGCCTGAACTCTGGGCCTGGGAGCTGTCCCTCAGCTCTTCAGCTCAAGGTTAGCGCTCTATCACTTGAGCCACAGCGCCACTTCTGTCTTTTTTCTTTTTGTTTATGTGGTGCTGAGGAATCGAACCCAGGGCTCATGCATGCAAGGCAAGCGCTCTACCACTGAGCCACCTTCCCAGCCCCTATTTATTTTATTTTTTATCAGTCCTGGAACAGCTTTTTTTGTTCAAGGCTAGCACTCTACCACTTGAGCCACAGAACCACTTCTGTTTTTTTTTCAGTTTATATGGTTCTGAGGAATTGAACCCAGGGCTTAATGCATACTAGGCAAGCATTCTACCACTAAGACACATTGCCAGCCAATCCTCTTTCTTGCCTGAGTGCTTCACTCAGTGCTGGTTAGCCTGAAATGGCCTTTGTAGCCTAGGCTGACCTCAGCCTCTTGAGTGTGGGAATAACAAGCTTGTCTCACCACATTCAGCTTGATTTTGGCTTGTTTGGCTTGCACATAAGCTCTAAAAGGGTCTTTCTTCCCAATGCTCCCTCTCTAGTTCTTATCTGCATAAAACTACTGAATCTACCTGCTTACTTGACACTTGGGTGTTTGACCATTGGTGAAATCTCATCCTAACTAGCAATCCTGTATTTCTCCAGCCTTTTTTTATATGGCTAGGAACATCAGACAGTTCCTCCTCTATCTTGGCCCTACTGAACTCATTTCCAATTCTCAGTTTATGCCATTCCCTGACCTTTGTCTATCACTGCTTTATTCAAGTTTCCCCTTAAGAAGCAGAATGGTTTATCAGGTGCCGGAGACTTGCTACTAAAGACTACAATTAATGATCTTCACATCCTCTTTTGAAGTCACAAAGGACATGACCAAGAACCCTCTGGATATGAGTAGTAACCACCTCTGCTACTGAAATGTGGCTTCTGGAAGCTGGTTGAGCATATTGTTAAAAATTTTCTAGATAGGGAGCATCTCAGACTCTCTTCTCTAGGAAAAGCAGCACACACGTACCAAGCCAGGCTAAAGGAAATACTTACATAAGCCAGAGGCTGCTTGTCCTGGAGAAGCAGGAACTTGTGGTTCTGCTCCGGCCCAGCATACTCAAGGACCAGAGCGAAGTGCTCAATATATCTCAGTGAGAGACGGTCCTGTAAAGTCACCATCACATCCTATAGGAGAAAAAGTACTTTGAAAGCGGAAATCCATTATGGCTCTAAGCTAACTAAGTAGCAAACATATAAGGAGGATAGACAACCAAGTACAAACATCCTATGGAGAAGGTAGAGACAGCAGTCTTCATGGTGGTCCAAGTACTGGATTTCAGGATGAAAAAAGGGGCCCATGAGTGCTGCCTACAGGTCTGGACCCAGGGGAACATCACATACCCAGGACTTGGAGGTGTCTGTCTCTGAATTATCCCTGATTGGACATATGGAAAAAGAAGGTTGTGTCACTGCTTCCAGCCCTCCTTCTACTAGACAAGTAATTGAGTGCTCACTGAGTGCCAAGTACTGTGTTGGTTCTCTTCTCCCCTTCTCTCATCAATCAAAATGTCTACTCTGCCTTGCCTGTCAACTCTTAGGAATTAACAAAAGCAAAAGCTACATTTCTATGATTAAAAAGTAGACTATTTCCGGATTCATAATCTAAATCAAATGACTTGAGTTACTGGCAAAATGTTCATTTTTGGCCGTAGCTGGCTTTTATAGATGATCAATTTAGCAACTTGAAAAATGTGTCCATGCAGAGGAACAATGTCACGTGTCTGCTGTACAGTCATAAATCTGACAACTTCTGGGCTCCGTCTGCTCTGGTGCCCTACTTTTAATACTAGGGCGTCTGGAAACATTATCAGTGGGGGCTGCCCAAATGTCATTTTTGAGATTTCCTCCATCTATTTGCTATGACTTCAGCATCCATACTGGGCGCCAGTGTGTGCATTTGTGCACTCAGCATCTCCTCTCAGTCACCAAAGGCTGTAAAGAAGCAGGCTAGAAGGGTCATAGAGCTCTGTGACAGCTCAGCCGACTAAACAAGCCCCTCAGTGAACACTGCAAGACACTCAGCCATTGAAATGGTAGACTGGAAAGTGCTGGGTACTTGAGAGGATGTCTTTGTATTATCCAAGTAGTCACAGAGGTACCCGTATTGCTGAAGCTCTGGCAGGAACAAATGAGGTTTTCTTTGCAGTTCAGCTGCATTGGGATTGTGGACAGCCAAGCCGGCAATTGCCAACTGGTGTTACAAGTGTAACAGCCCATGTGCCAGGCTGTCAATTCACACAGGTACCTCTCTGGGACAAGTGGCTTGGCAGCCTGTCAAAGTTCCAATGAATAGCCATGCACCCTTCCTGAAGTCAGACTGGGATCTCAAGTGAGGGGAACACTGCTATCATGGAAGCCACTATGGTGGTAATGATGTGAGGTGGGAGAATGTGTGAAGAAGCTACCAGAGGGAAGGAGTTGGCAGCATATGCTCTCATACAAAGACAGAGCCTACACTGGGCAAAGCAACCTATGAAGAAACACTAAAGAAGATTCTGACACAGAGATACACACATCTGGATGAGGGACTTTGGAGATCTCCTGGGTGACTTTAATTCGTGTGTGTGTGTGTGTGTGTGTGTGTGTGTGTGTGTGTGTGTGTGTGTGTGTGCCTGTACTGGCCCTTGAACTCAAGGCCTAAGCCTAAGGCCTTTATTTTGTTACTCACAGATGCTACTCTGCCACTTGACCAACAGGTCCACTTCTGTTTTTTTGCTGATTAATTAGGGATAAGGGTCTCATGGATTTTTCCGTCTGGGCTGGCTTAAAACCAAAATCCTCAGTCTCAGTCTCCTGAGTAGCTAGGATTACAGGTGAAAGACACCACAATCAGCTTAATTCTGCATAATTCCTCTTAGCAAAAGTTTCCTGGTCTAGGTTCTTTTTTATTTATTATTTATTTTTTATTTTTTTGCTAATCTTGGAGCTTGAACTCAGGGCCTGGGAACTGTCCCTGAGGCTCTTGTGCTAAAGGTTAGCACTCTACCACCTGAGCCACAGAGCCACTTCCAGCCTTTTCTGTTTATGTGGTACTGAGGAATTGAACCCAAGGCTTCACCCATGCTAGGCAAGCACTCTACCACTAAGTCATATTCCCAGCCCGGTTCTTTTCTTCTCTTCTTTTTTCTTCTTTTTTTTTTTTATAGCCCCAGTGTGGGAATCATAAGACACCTGTGGACCAAGGCAGGTTTTCTGCATAGGTGTTATAGCCCTTCAGCAATAATAGGCTGCACTGGTTGCACAAAAAAACCTTCATTTTGGAATAGCAGTCTCTTTCTGGAGAGAGTCCAGAAAATCAGGAATGGACAGTTGTGTTCCAGAGCAGAGTGAACGTAGGTTAAATTGTATCATCGTCTCTGTTCTTGGAGACTAAGAGAATCACTAGGACTTTTTCATGCCTGGCTGAGCTGTTAAGAATCACAGTTCAGTAATTGCTCTTCCTGTGAAAAGCATAGCTGAAAGGGCTGTGGCTGGACTTTTCAAATCTCGGTTCCGTGCTTAAGATTTGGTTGCAAAGCATGGCTAAGTTAACCTCCCAAGAAACTGCATTTGTTTATTTCTGTGTGTAAACTTGTGTAGATATTATTGTATCAATACAAATAAGTTTTGCTTTATAAATGGCATGATAATATTAACAATCCTAGTCCTTAATAATCTTTTAGGATCCGAGGAATGTGAACATGAAACAGCTCAGAAGCAGATGTGCACTCTTGTGCACAACCACATTTTAACAATCAACACACAGTTGGGCTTGCAAAGTCCACCACTTCAATGGAGGACTGTGCATTTTTGTAGCCTTGTGTTCATGAGCATTGAGAGCAGTGAGCAGCCATGTGCAGTCTCAGAGGAACATAGGACAAACAGCTGACCGAGGAAAAAAGACTCTGTATGTACCTTGACAGTGGTCCGGCCATCAAATGTGAATGACTTGATCTGCCCATTTTCTAAGAAAACCTTCAGGACGTTGGGGATGAGGAGGAGAGCTTCCTTCTTCATCATTTTCTATGAAAAGTCAGAGAAAAGATAATGACAAGGCTCATTCAGATGAAGAATAAGGTCCAGATGTGTGTGTGGTAACAGAAAGAGAGAGATGATAGAGTCAAAGGGTATGAAAGGGCAAAGAGACAGAGGAAAAAGAAGTTCGATAATGTTACATGGTGATCAGAACCAAATTCCCCAAGAAGATGTTAGGCCATATTTAAAGGTCACATCCTTCACTGGACATGAGGTGCACTTATATTGTACTGTGGTTCAAATCTCTATTGCTGTGGCCCTGAATCACTACTACACACACACACACACACACACACACACACACACACACACACATGCACACACACGCACACGTACACGCACACACACCCTGAGGGGTTTCTGTGCCTCAGCTTATCATCCTTCCCTTCCTACCAGATCCTTCACAAGGTCTTTTCTCTGCTATTCTCGTCCCTTCATGGCATTCCAGCCCTCATTCCCTTTTCAGTGCAGGGTACAGAGCAGGACTTCACACATGCTAGGCAAGTGCACTACTAAGCTACATCTCAAGTCTCTAGGTCACAGGTTCTTTCAGATGTGGCTCTTGCTACCTCTCTGCAGTCATGTCTTACCATTCCTGGTATTCTTTTTTTTTTTTTGGTCCAGTCGTGGGGCCTGAACTCTGGGCCTGGGTGCTGTCCCTCAGCTCTTCAGCTCAAGGCTAGCGCTCTACCACTTGAGCCACTGCGCCACTTCCGGCTTTTTTCTTTTTGCTTATGTGGTGCTGAGGAATCGAACCCAGGGCCTCAGGCATGCAAGGCAAGCGCTCTACCACTGAGCCACCTTCCCAGCCCCCCATTCCTGGTATTCTTGTTCCTTTGATGCCTCCATATCACTGACAATTCTTCATCGCAGAGAGTGTAAATTTAGTGTCTCAGCTCTGACTGATACACTCAGTATTAATAGTATGAAAATCTCTGAGATGATCCCAAGTACTCTCAGACATATTTGAAAGCTCTTGGAAAATGGGAGCCACTGACCTTGATTCAGAACCATGGCCCATTTCTTAATATCTGATCACTCCTTAGCCTAAGTTTTCCTGGACCAAGAGTTTGTTTAAAGAAGACTACATACTAATTTCTGAATAAAAATTATTAAATAAACATAATCTCTTCTGCCTTCTTCTTTCCCTTTCTATTCATTCTTCAAACCAAGCTCCAATATGCATTCTGTAATGCCTTGGTACAGTAACATCAGATACTTGTACTGATCTTATCATGAGTTCCTGTTATCAATTTATACCCCTTTCTTTCTGTGCATAGGTGGTGTGTGTGTGTGTGTGTGTGTGTGTGCGCGCGCGCCCGTGCGCGTGTGTACTTTTTCAGTTTTTGAGACAGGGTCTTACTATGTAGGCATGGCTGGGCTGGAACTTGCTATGTAGGTCAAGCTGACCTCAAACTCAAAATCCTCCTGCTCCAGCCTCCCTAGTGATAGGTTCATAGATGGGTACTATCACACATGGCAATATTTTTGCATACTTGTTTTTCACAATCAAACAGTAAATTCAGAGCACAAAGACCATGTATATTCATCTTTTCAGTCCCAATACTAAAGAGCATTCCTGACATACAGCTGGTATTCAACTAATGGCTGTTAAATGAACATGCAGTAGGTGTTTTCTTTGTATGTAGGTACTGGACTTGAACTCAGGGCCTTTTTCTCTTTGTCCCAGGACTCTCTGAGGTCAGTGTTAGCTGAATATGAGTTCAGTTCTCCTAGACAAGACAACACCTTGCAACATGGGACTTGGCCTTGTGATACTCCTGCCTGGCTGACCCTGAGTGTCCCTACCTTCTACTATTCTCCATTATCTAAATGAATTAATGAATAAACAAAAAAAGTAAATAAAGTTTAAAAAGTGGGCCTTTCCAGTCCTCTCCTTGATCCTGAGATGCCTTGCTCCTGCCAACTCCAGAGGCCCCAACTCCCCAGGCTGATGACGCTCAGTGGTGGCAGGTTTTATTTAGCACACTGGGTTGGACTCAGATAATTACTTAATTGATTTTGCTTAAAAATAGAGCTGGCAAGGAACGCCCACAGGATTTATTTTTACTCTGGTTGCTTAATAAAGCCTTGGAACACAAGGGAAAGAGATATGGGACAGCCTGGAGTCATCTGGACTCCCCAAGTCCCAACAGGCTGCTATGGTCCATACTGGCAGCAGCAGTGGAAGGCTGCTGTTATGATATTCAGAGAATTTCCTAAGTACAGTAAGAGGTGGAAGATCGATGTGCCTTTGTCCCGGTAAGAGCTTTGAGAGATGCTTGGTGGCCTGTCCCAGTGAGGGAAAGAGAGAAGTCATTGGAAGGGTTCTAGCTGCTCTGGGACACTTGTTTTCCAGTAGGGCTGGAGTAGGGGTTTCAGTTTGCCTGTGGCCCAGCTCTGTGGTATGGAAGAGTTACAGTGGAGGAAGGAGAGCATGGAAAATGGAAAGGGGGTAGACAAATAAAGAAAGGGAGGAAGTGTGGGAGTTTTTCACTGGTTGTTCTGGCCATGGCTAATTTGTCTGCAATATTGAGGTAGGATAGACTGCACTGGTCCAACTTTCCAAATTGAAGTCCTATGTTTCAGGACACAAATGTCCCTTTGGTGACTTGGCACTCAGAATCTGCTTCAGTCTGATCTTCAATGGACTTCATCCTGTATCCTCTACCCTCTGATCACCCATTGTCTTTAACTTCAGCCTTTTCCAGAATGGACATAGATCCCAAGCACCAGTTATTCAGACAGCTTGCCAATGGGGTCCCACAGTCCTCTGGGCTTCCTAGCCTTTTTTATACATGTGTGCCTGAGGGCACTGGCTGGGTTTGAGGATGAGAATCAGGCAATGGAGATGTGTCTCTTGTCCTTTCTTCTGAGTGGCTTTGCCTCAGAGAACTAGAGGTGCTGGGCATCTCACTCATTTCCCTGCTAGTTCAGGGCCTGTTATCTTCTCTCAACAACTACAGCTGGGCCTCAGTGTGTGAATGCTAAGTATCCCTGACAGCACAGCTGGCCACTGCCTACAAAAGCACACAAGGCCTGTTAGCTCAATCTCTCCTACCCCCACTGGGATATCACCAATTTCCTCAGACTCCTGGGGAACTCTGGGCCAGATTCCATGATAGCTGAACACACTTATTCCTGCTTCCCACTCACCTCTTCCCATCTGCACATCTGGAGCTGACAGCTCGCCTCATGTAAATCCCACAAAACAGTGAGAAAGGCCATGGGCTGGCCAGCGTCTCCTAGATTGGCAGCTGTTTGGAATGAGCTGTCAAACATTACCTGTTTGTAGAGAAGATGCCACATAGCAGTGGATTCTCTACTGCCTTAGTCTGAACCACTCGTCCCCCCCTCCCACTGATACCCCAACACTGAGAGGTATCCAGTGACAGGAAACAGGTATTTATTTTGTGCATAATAAAAACTTGCTGAGTTTAAGCAGAGTCTGTCATTTCCCCTAGGCAACTTCACCTATCACCACAGTTTTCTCCAGTCAAGATGTGAAATTGCAGGACCACTTAAATGAGAAGAGAGTTCAATTTCATCAGCTTCTTGCTCCCTGGATCTTCAGAAAACCATTACTTCCTTCCTGTTTCTATCAAGTAGCCAAAAGATGTTTATGGAGCACTTGTTCTGAGTGTATGCTATTGTGGCAGGGATGGAAATTTCTCTACACATCAAGAGAATCTGGAGTGTACTGATACATGTTTTTTCTTCTTCCAATGTGTGGGGAGCCTCCCTGGAAGCTACACACTCTGGTCTACTCACTACCTACTCACTCACAGCATGGGATTTTCTGGTTCCAACCCCTTAGTAATGTTATCAACTGGGATGAGAGAAGAGAGAGAGGGGAAAGAGAGAGAGGAGGGAGGGAGAAGGAGAGGGAGAGGGGGAGGGAAAGGGAGAGGGAGGGAGAGAAATAGAAAGAGAGGGAGGGAAGGAGGGAGAGGAGTGAGAGAGAGAGGGAGGGAGAGGAGTGAGAGAGAGAGGGAGGGAGAGGAGAGAGAAAGAGAAAGAGAAAGAGAGAGGGAGGGAGAGGAGTGAGAGAAAGAGAGGGAGGGAGAGAAGGAGAGAGAAGAAAGGGAGGTAGAGGAGAGAGACAGAGAAAGAGATACACACACACACACACACACACACACACACACACACACACACACACACACACAGACACAGATCTCCACAGCTTAGCTAATTTTGGCCAAGCACTAAGGAGTAGAGCCAAGGCTGGACTTACTGCATCTGTTTCTCCAACAGCCACCTGCTCAGAAAATCGGACCTTCACAGGATTAGATCTCAGCTTGGCCTTCTTTGCAGCACTGATGAAAGCAGATTTGGGAGACTGAAAAAAAGAACAGAGGGCCGGTGAGTTCACTATCCTTGGCGGGAATCCTGACCTATGTCATGTCAGAGTTAAGATGTCTCAGTAGAACTGAGTGTAGTCACATAAACTTGTAATCACAGCATTCAGGAGGCTGAGGTAGGGGGACCATAAATTTAAGGCAAGCCTGGATTACTCTGTTTTGAAATTTAAAGAAAGATGTCTAAATACATGAGTACATGCACATTTTGCCTTGCTAATCAATGAATCAATAAATAAGTATTGATTGCCTATTAATTGCAAGGCAATATACTATCTCCTTATACAATTGTGTGTTGGAAAAAAGCTGGACATGAATCAAATGTAGGGAAATTGATGAATGCTATAAGCCTATGGGAGTTTCTCTAGAAATAACACACATTGGATTTTTAGATATTTGCTTTCCTTATTATGAGATATACCTAAATGTTGGATTTTATTGCATCTGAATATAAATGTTCCAAAGGATTTACAGAATTAATCTTACTCATCTCATAGATATGCCTTGCCCTTAGGAAAGAGACTCATAACAAATTATGTTTTCGATGTAGGAGAAAGAAACCATAGCCCTCCAAAATGACTCACCCACCATTTCTACACTGCTCAGGAAGAAAAATATGAGAGATTTAAGCTAGGGCTCTTGGCTCTCTACTTCTGGGTGCTTTGCTTATCTAATTCTGTTTGAAATGCCTAAAGATTCAGTTAAGCTTTCTGGTTCTTGAAAACATTTCCAAAAATTGAACAGGAAGTATGATTAGCAAACATTGGAAACTACATCCATCTATCCCTGCTCACAGGTTCTGCATCCTTGGATTCAACCATCCACAGATTAAAAATACTTTAAAAATGGTGTCTGTACTAAATATATATAGATTTTGCTTATCTTCATTCTTAAAGCAGTACAGTATATCAAGCATTTATGTAGTATTTACATTTGATTCCATATTCTAAGTAATCTACAGATGATTTTAATTATATGGGAGGATATGGTTAGTCCATATGCAAATAACTTGACATTGTACCTAGAGACTTGAGCATCTATGGATTTTGGTACCCATGGTGGGTGTCCTGGATATAGGAAAGGTTTTCTTTAAATTCCAGACCTTTGCTGAGTTCCATACCTCCCAGTAGCCAGTGAATTTAGAAATCCTGCTAAAGGGTATCCTGTTTGGGGGGAATTTATTCGTTAATTTGCCAAATTTAAGGAGGGTCTACTATGTACTAGGTAGTCTTCCAGATGATGAATGATACCATAGTGAACAAGACAGACAAAGCTCCTGGGCCTCATGGCTCATCTGTTCTATCTGGAATATAGATAGTAAACAAACAACTTTTTTGAGATAGAATCTTGATATGTAGCCTAGCCTGGCCTTGAACTTATGATTTCCCTGCCTCAGACTACCAAGTGCTGGGATTACAGGCATGTGCCACGATGGCTGGCTAATAAACAAAGATTTTTCGTAGCAGATAAGGACTACATTAGTCTTCCCTTAGCTGCAGTTTGCTCTGTATGGTTTCAGTCACATGTAGATAACTACAGCTTGAAATTTTTAAATGGAAAATTCAGAAATAATTCAAAAGCCTTTGTTTTTTTGTTTTTTGTTTTTTTTTTTTGGGTTCGGTTGTGGGGCCTGAACTCTGGGCCTGGGTGCTGTCCCTCAGCTCTTCAGCTCAAGGCTAGCGCTCTACCACTTGAGCCACAGTGACACTTCCGGCTTTTTTTTTTTTCTGATTATGTGGTGCTGAGGAATCGAACCCAGGGCCTCAGGCATGCAAGGCAAGCGCTCTACCACTGAGCCACCTTCCCAGCCCAGTTCAAAAGCCTTAAATATATTTTGTTATCAAGTATTTTACTAATTATTTTATTTTGTTATTGTTGTTAAACTCTTACTATGCTTGATTTATAAACTAAATACTATCATAGTATATATGGATAAGAAAAAATGTTTCCTATATTTAGGAACTGTTTTACAGTTCAGTATTATTAGTTGTTTAGGCATCCACTGGGGATCTTGGAAAGTATTCCCGGCAGAAAAGGGGGTTTAGTGTAGGAAGGAAAATAAAGAAGGATAAGAGACTACACAAGAGAATGATGGAGACTGGGGTTATTTTAGTAATTTTCAAACCTATAATCCACTATTCTTAACTGTAGTCACATGCTGTGCAATAGATCTTAAACATTTATTCCTCCTGTTTGACACTATATACTCTTTTTTTTGCCAATCCTGGGGCTTGAACTCAGGGCCTGGGCACTGTCCTCGAGTTTCTTTTGCTCAAGGCTAGCACTGTACCACTTGAGCCACAGCGTGGCTTCTGGCTTTTTCTGTTTATGTGGTACTGAGGGATTGAACCCAAGGTTTCATGCATGCAAGGCAAGCACTCTACCACTGAGCCACATTCCCAGCCCACTTTATACTCTTTGAATAGCATCTCCTCATTCCCTTCTCTCAGCTCCAGCTTCTGGCAACCACCACTGTATTCTGCTCCTGACAATATCTAATATGAATTATTTGTCTCTGTGTCTGGTTTATTTTACATAGCATAATGTCTTCCAAGTTCATCCCATTAGCAAATGGCAGAATTTCTTTTTTTTCTTGCAGTGATGAAGACTGAACCCAAGGCTTTGCAAGAATTTCCTTTGTAAAGTTGAATAGTATTCCATTACATATGTCCAGTCATCTGTCAATGGACAGGTTGATTCTATATTTTGGCTATGCTGAATTGTGCTACAATGAACACAGTATCTTTTCGACATAATAGCTTCAACTTCTTTAGAATATATATCTAGAAATGAGATTGGGGGTGGTATTTTAGATATGTTGTTCAGTGAAGACCTCTTTGAGGACATTTAAGCAGAGATTTGAAGGAAGTAAGAGAGGACATCCAAGAGGCTATCCAGAGAACAGGGCTTCCAGGCAGAAAGAACAGTAAAGGCCCAGAGGTATAGGATTTGGGTGGAAGAAGAACAGGAATAATCCCTCACGTAACTGTACAATGATGCAGTAGGGAATGGAAGCAATGTGCTGAGAGAAGCAGCTGAGATTGAGTTATTATGTAGGGCTTTGTAAGTCATGGTGAGAACTTTAGACTTTCCTCAGAGGGGGGTTTTGAGGAGACAGAGTCTGGAGTGCATTTAAAAAGATGCTTCTGCTGCTTTGTGGAAAATGGAGTGTAAAAGGGCAATGTCAAGAGGAGGAAGGCCAGTTACATGTCCGACTGCAATACTTATGACTGCAATAATACAGTTCAAATATGGTGACAGCACAGGCTAGGTTCACAGTAATGGAGATGATGAGAAATGAGTGACTTCTAGGTAGATTCTTAGGGCTGAGCCAAGATCCTGTGCTGATGAGTTGGATACAAGGAGTAAGAAAGAGGTGCCAGTGGCTCACACCTATAATCCTAGCTACTAAGGAGGCTGAGATCTGAGAATCATGGTTCAAAGCCAGCTTGGGCAGGAAAGTCCATGAGACTCATCTCCAATAAAACACCAGAAAACAGGAAGTGGCACTGTGGCTCAAGCGGTAGAGAGCTCACCTTGAGCTGAAGAGCTGAGGGATAGCACCCAAGCCCAGAGTTCAAACCCCATGAGCAACAAAAAAAAAAAAAAAAAAAGAGGAGAGTGAACACTAAGAGTAGGCTTGTCATTTGCCAAGAAAAGAATTAGGGGGAAATCAAGTTTGAGGCCACTTTAAATCATCTTTTCCATTGATTTTAGAGCCTGTGAGTCCTATGATTAGGAATTCCTTTGTGTTAAGACCCTTAAGGGTCCCTGTCAGCTGGAAAGGTGAGCCATTTACCCTGTGGTTGGGATTCATTTACTAAATCAGCCACAGGGGGGCAGGGCCCTAAGATATAGACACATCAGAAACAAAGGGCCTCATCATCCTCATCACGTCTTAAGCTCTGGACCCAGCTGTGTTTTCTGTCAGGGCAGCAATCTCATTTATCCAGAGGGCAGATCACCAAAAGCCACTTGTTCCACCTGAGTCCAGCAGGACTCAGGCTGCACAGCAAAAAGGCTCAAAGGGGTTTTAAAACTCCCAAGACCCAAGCCCTTTTCCAGACCAATTACATCAGAAGTCCTGGGGTTAGGGCCAGAATATTAGTATTTTTCAAAGCTTCTGATGATTTCAAAGTGTAGCCAAGATTGAGAATCACTGAGCTAAAGGAACCTTAGATTTCACATCCTGAGTCACAGGGGCAATTTGTTGGCAGCAGATGATACAGCAGAATGAAATCCAGGCTGGAGATCGTTGCAGAAAGTGATTACAGTATTGATTGTTCATGAAGTCAATACATGTCTTTGCATGTTGCACAGCTGGGTGCTCAAATCCTAGGTGGGGGCTGAAGGCTGAAGCAGGAGTAAAGGGAAGGGCAAGACAGGAAGATCCGCAGTTCTGCTCAGGCAGATCTGTTTTATTCCACAGCTACACAATTTACCACTGAGCTGTCACAAACATGAGGCAAGTGGAATCTTTGTTCTGTGTGACAGTCACTCTCTCCCTTCTTTGTTATCATATACCAGCAGATATATGCCACCATTGTGGGACAGCATCTCTAGAGATCTTAAAGGCCATGCAGTTGGTGTTTCACTGTTAAATGCAAAAAGGAGGTCCACAAAGAGGGTACAGTTTTCCCAAAATGTCAAAATAATTGAGTAGCAGAGCTGAAACCAGAATTCAGATTTCCTGAGCCTTGGATTAATGATTGTCTCCCTATAGCAGGCTGGGAGTCTACTACTGATCTTTCATCCACTGGTTTGAATTTTACCTTGGCCTATCTAATGGATTCCAACAACCAAGGAACCCCGCTGCTATCCTTTTATGTATTCACTCATAGGAGGGGGAAGCATCTTTGCTAGTCCTACCAAACATCCAAAATTAGATCCTGTCTTAAAGATTTTTGTTTGTTTGTAGCATTATAGCAAAAGATTCAGATATTTACAGGAGCAACACCAGTGAGAGTTGAATTGCCAATAT